GTACAAATACACTTACTTTCCGTTTCATTATCTGAATCACTCCCGATGTCAACCAACTTCCGTTTTCCTTGAGTGTCAGACGCCATTTTTTGAATATGTATAAATAATAGAGTACGTTCGTAAATTCTACTCGTAAAGTAGATTTCATTGACCAATCAGGACAAAAGAAGATTTTGATTGGTCAATTAGATATGTATAATCACGTGATTCGTGCTTTATCGTTTCAAACGCACTTTTTTTACACTTTCTGTACTTTTAAACCGAAATAGACATATTATAGATGTAAATAGAGATTTTGAAGGAGAAAGAAGAAAGAAATAAAGTGTAGAAACATTTATACGTGGTTTGTAAACTGACAGAAAAAGATAAAGTAAGTATGCGCGCTTCTCTTTGTATACCTGTGCCACAGATTAATAGACAGATCGCCAAAGGCCTGCCTAAAGAAGAGACCGCCATCTTCGTGCGATAGACTTTGCCCCTTACCGACACACTTTGCCCCTGGTTCGAGTCCGTGCTAAATTCGTAGACTTGAACCAAAAGACTTTGCCCCTGGTTCGAGTCCGTGCTAAATTTCGTAGACTCGACCAAAAGACTTTGCCCCTGGTGCAAGTCCAGGCTAAATTCGTTTGACATTACCAACAGACTTTGCCCCTGGTGCGAATCCAGGCTAATTGATCATGAGACCAATTTGAGAGATTTGGCCCCCGTTGTGTGTGTGTGTGTGTGTGTGAGAGAGAGAGAGAGAGAGAGAGAGAGAGAGAGAGAATATTTTACATATATGCATATATATATATAAAATTTATTAAATATAAAAAATATATTTTTTACACATAAAATGTTTTTTTATTGAAATAATCACGATTTTAAATGTGATATAACACAGTGTTCAAAAATTTTTTAATTAAATTTTTTAATTAAATTTTATTAAAGAAAATTACTTGAAATTTTTTACATTAAGAATTTAAAGGCTCCTTATTCTCTTGTAGAAATTTATCACTACGCCAATTAATCACTTATTTTGAGTATTTAAAATACTATAATATACAGTAATTTAAGTATTCGAAATAAAAGTGATTAATTACTCGAAATAAGTAATAAATTGGCGTTACTAGTAATAAATTTCTATAAGGGTTGAAATAAAGTATAAGAGATAAATAGGCTATATGTGAGCCGTATGCGAAATGTGAGATGTAAGACGCATATTAAAATTTAATTTTTCGATATAACTTTCAAAAATGTACACGAGGTACAAAAAATTAGCTTGGACATTTGTAAGACTTAAAATTGGGATTAATTCTCAATTCTATTAATTAAATTTCGATATAACACACCTTACATCCGCGCACGGCTCACATATATATAACCCATTTATTAGTGCAATTTTTAAGTTTCTTATTTTTCAAAGTTCACCTTTTTACGTTATCAAATATTTTTACGTTTTCAAGAATTTTATATTTTTACTTACCGCAGTTTCTTATCCAAATGTAAAATCTTTTATCGCAGTCTATAAAAAATTGAAACAATTTACAATTTTATGATATAATATTATTATTATTACAATTTCTATATATATGCACATCTGTCAAATATCGTGATTTATTTCACATTATTATTATCTATTTTAATAAAAAAGAAAACAAAAACACTTGCAACAATCAAAAATAAACCGCCTGCCGCGAACGGAAAATGCCAAGAAAGCACGCAATTTCCGCGAATCTCGTAATTTTTTTGAAAAATCAACAATTTCAACGAAATTGTAAATTCTTCAAATCACTGCACAAGTATAATTCACAATAATAATTTTCAGTAACTACGATAAAAAATCGTATACTGAAAACCGCAAACGAAAGTGCAATGGGAGTAAGAGTAAAGTCTGTGATACAATTAATTGGCAATAGAAAATTAATAATTTTCAAATAGAAAAATTTTGAAATTACCGAGGATTTACAAATAATAAAGTAAAAATATTAAATAATTTATGTGACTTTGTATAGTGAACACATCAACTTGGCGGAATCTTGACTACTCATCAATTTAAGTAAGCAATTCTAAACACAATTAAGATCTTTCACATAAAAAAAATAACTTATTAATATAAATTAATATACCAAAAAAATAAAAATATACTTAGACAATCACGGTGAAATATACTGCAATGACGAACTTACTCGGAAATATCCTTGATGATGGGGACTAACTTTTTGATGCTGGATAACATCTAATTGTTTTCAATTCTCATATCAAGCGGTTCTGACGATAATTTTAACTAATAATGTTCAAAAGAATTGATGACGTGGAATGGGCCGTCAACCTGTTCTACTAACAACAGGGAACTCGTTTACATGTTTTTTGACATAATCAAAAAGTTTACCATCTTAACTAAAAAATGGTTAGCCGATTAGAAAAAATATCTAATTTAATAAATGTTATAAGCGTAACCCAATTTAAATTCATCGACTTATTAAACCAAAATGTTCATTAAAAAATAGACTCTAATGCGTAATATGTCATAATTTTTCTTAAGAGAATTTTTATTGTTTTTATATTTACTGAAGAAGGCTGAGGTAACAGCCGAAACGTTTTATTATTTTTATTATCATTGTATCTACTAAGAAATAAATCAATTATGTGTTGACATTACATCTCTCACTAATTTAATATGCTCGTTATAGTTGGCCCTGTCTTTCTAAATCTTAATTTTATAATATCACACGAGCCTTGTCTTTAAATATCTAATTGTTTTCCTTATTAAATTTAAATAATTTATGTTTTCGAATTTTGCTCGCGGAGAGGATCTTTAAAACAAGATTTTTAGAAGAGAGGACCTTTAAAATATAAACAGGCAAAAACGTTGGAAAAATTAAAGCGCGCGTTTAAACAGATAAACGCAATGAAATAAATACGCAATTGTTTTTACTTATCGCTGTAAGCTCACAAGCTTCTGACGTGCTATACACTTTTATATAATATATACAAGGTGTCCGGTAACTAACGGACCAATGATTAAGGGCGGATTCTCTGGCTAATTTGGAGACGATTTTTCCTTAGCAAAAATGTTGAGAAGTCAATAATTTTCGAGTTATAAGCGATTGAAAAAATAGGTTTTTTGAAAACTAAACGTTTTGGAGTTAAAAGTCTAACATAATTACATTCTTCAGTTAATTTCAGGTAGAGTTTACTATAATAAAATTTTAATTTAAGGCTTAGTTATAAAGATACATAATGACAAAGATTGGAAAGTTGTAAAAAATGATGACCTTTTTCGACATTTTTGCTGAGGAAAAATCGTTCCCAAATTGACCAAAGAATCCATTTGTAATCATTGGTCTGTTAGTTACCGGACACCCTGTATATTGGACACGAGTTTCGTTTGTTTCAGATTCTCGAGAGTTGAAGTAGGAACATACGAGTATCATATATCGTTTGTGACTTGCCGAATGAAAGCAAGACAGAGAGCGAACGAGATGATGAGCTTAATAGCTCATAATGTTATAAATAAATAAATAAAAAATTATAACCTGACCTACTAGTTATTGAATCTTTTTTTAATAAAATGTTTCATTATTATTATCATCTAAGTCTAAGTCGTTTAATTACTTTTTAGTTTTTTAATAATTAATTTAATTTATTCTAGTCATTTTTATATGAGAAAAATAATATCACGTATACGTTTTATAATGAATTAATATATTTCGGGAATCGAATTATATATTCTTAATAATATAAAAGTGTTCAAAAATTATATTTGACTTTTAATTTTAATTATTTTATAGCAAAGAGTTCCGAAATCTCTTACACACATAATGGGGATTTTTTTCATCCATATAATTCGCAATTAAGTATATATGTTAATTATTAATTTTAATAAAATAAAAATTAAAATTAAAGGTCAAATATAATTTTTAAACACAATAAATATATTAAATTAATTATAAAACGTATACCCATGATAGTATTTTTCTCGTACAAAAATAATTAGAGTAAATTAAATTAATCATAAAAGATTAAAAATTAATTAAAGAATTTAAACTTATATTTTATATAATAATAATAAAACATTTTATTACGTCAAACCGTCGTGAAATAATTAAATAAAATTTGCTAGTTACGTCAAAGTCAAGTTTTCTAACCTTATAAAACATTTTATTAAAAAACAGATTCAATAAATATAAGTACATGTTATATATATACTTATATTTATTAAATCTGTTTTTTTTATAAAATGTTTTATTATTATCATATAAAATATAAATTATTTAATTATTTTTTTATTTTTTTATGAGTAATTTAATTTATTCTAGTTATTTTTATACGAGAAAAATACTATCACGGGTATACGTTTTATAACAAATTAAATATATTTATGTTCAAAAATTATATTTGACCTTTAATTTTAATTTTGTATTTTATTAAAATTAATAATTAACATATATACTTAATTGCGAATTATATGGATGAACAAAATCCCTATTATGTGCGTAAGAGATTTCGGAACTCTTTGCTAAAATAATTAAAATTAAAAGTCAAATATAATTTTTGAACACTTTTATATTATTAAAAATATATAATTCGACTCTCGAAATATATTAATTTATTATAAAACGTATACGTATTAGTATTTTTCACATATTAAAATGATTAGAATAAATTAAATTAATTATTAAAAAACTAAAAATTAATTAAACGACTTAGACTGAGATGATAATAATAATAAAACATTTATTAAAAAATAATTATAATAGGTCAGGTTAATATTTTATTTATTTATTTATTTATAACATCATAAAATTCTGTCCTTTCCGAAATACGCGAACGCTACGAAAAGATAAATCTCGTACATGCCGCCGGACGAGTTCATGAGCATGAGACGCTCTTATCTTGGGAACGTATTAATAGTTACTGCATTGACCACTACTACAATATGGCGCTGAAATCAGTGAGAAATGCTGGTCTCTCCTTCATCCAGACCTTTGGCGATCTGTCTATTAATCTGTGTCAGTATGATTAAATAAAATTGCAACACTGATTTAATTTACAAGAAAAGTGCAGTTACCGTTTCAAAGACTGAAACTCTGTTCTTGCATCTTTAGAGAAGAACGCTTATAAAATACGTATAATTTCAAAGATATAAAAGTTTTTATTTTCAAAGAGAAAATTTAATTATATATCTCAAAATAGCATATATCTCTCTCTCTCTTTATGTAGTGTACATTCAACTCTGCAAGTAACAATGTCTCATTCAAAGAGAACCAGAGTAGAAAATGATGATTTACCAAACACGAAAAAACTAAAGCAATCAGATCAAAATTCTCTGTTTGATTTTCTACACAAAACTTTCGGTTGGGAAGAACCAGAGAAGAATGTAGATGTGATTGAACATTCATCTACAGTATCTTCTTCCAACACAGAAAAAGATATAATTGAACATGTACCCACAACACTTGGATCAATTTCTAATAAATTGTTATCAATTGAACAAAAGCTTTGTACTAAATTACAAGATGTAACTTTTCCATCAACGGTACAATATATTTACAATCCACTTGAATATGCATCTGAAACACATGCCATGTATGTACATAAGTACTGCACTGGCAAAAAGAAAATTTTATTTCTTGGTATGAATCCTGGACCTTGGGGTATGTCGCAAACCGGTGTGCCATTTGGAGAAATCAGCATGGTGCGCAATTGGCTAAAAATTGTTGGTCCTGTTGGAAAGCCGTCAAAAGAACATCCTGATAGAAAAGTTACAGGATTTGAATGTACACGTAGCGAGATTAGTGGATTAAGATTGTGGGGTCTCTTTCGAGATTTATGTGAAAGTCCAGAAAACTTTTTTCGATATGCATACATGCACAATTGTTGCCCATTTGCATTCATGGATACCAAAGCTCGAAATATCACACCAGCAGAATTAAAGGCAATATTGATTCTGCTGCATTCCTTTCTTTTTATGCTAAATTATTTTTATTTTTCAGGGGGAAGGACAAAGAATTTTACATGAGGCCTGTGACAAATCCTTGATAGATATAATAAAACTCTTGAAAGTGGAGATTGTCGTTGGTATTGGCAATTATGCTGAAAAAAGAGCACAGATTGCAGTCCAGACAGGAGGTCTTTCAGGAATACAGGTAATGTATATATTTATATAATATATACATAATGATATAATAAGATTTACTAATTTATGAGTGATTATTTTCAGGTAATGGTTCTGCGACATCCCAGTCCAAGAGCTGTGGGTAATCAAAATTGGAATGAAATAGCTATGAAACGATTGGATGAGTTGGGATTGCTCAAATTTTTTGAAAAAGCAAGTACTTCTGCTTAAATTTTCTTTCGCACAAAGTGCAATCCTTATTTTTTTTACTTAAGACAACATTTATATTTTTCGCAAACGATAAAAAACTTCAAAATATTAATTTTTATAATTTTTTAAAACTAATTAATATTAACTGTAATCATTTTTTATAATTTTTAAAACAACGCATACAACATAAATTTTAAAGATATTTCTACGATATATTATTGACATGTGATACAATATTATCATTTGTTATGGATACTTTGGCATGGATGGATGTTGCATTACAAAAAGCTGAAGAATCTTTAAAAGCTGGCGAAGTCCCTGTTGGCTGTTTATTTATATATAATAATGAGATAATTGCAACTGGTAATAACACAGTGAATGAAACATGTAATGCAACTCGCCATGCAGAGATAAATTGTATTGATCAAGTTTTAAAATTTTGTAAAGAGAAACACATGGAATACAAAACGGTCTTTCGTAATCTAGATGTAATTGTCACAGTAGAGCCGTGCATAATGTGTATGTCGGCACTATTACAACTACAAGTACACAGTATTGTATATGGTTGTGCGAATGATCGATTTGGCGGTTGCGTCAGTGTTCTCGAGGTACCGAAAATTTACGATAAAAAAATAATGATACAAGGAAATGTTAAGGGTGAAGAGGCTATGAGATTGCTTAAAGACTTTTACAAGGGAGTGAATCCAAACGCGCCCGAATCAAAAGTCAAAAGAAAGAAAGAAACTTTGTTAACAGAGAACAAATAATCTTTCCACATTTAATGTCTTTTGTTTCTAAATTTTTGTCGAAACATTTTTTTACTGATATGATTTAGTATATTACATGAATATAAAATATATTTTCATTTTTAAATAATTATATGATACACTGCTATAGCATAAAATAACTTAGTTTTTTTAGTCTTTTTATACTACTCCACATATGTATATTTGATGTACAGTATAATAGAAATGATAGTAAGAAATTCAATATTTCGCGCATTTTTTATGTATTTAAATAGTTTTTCATTTAATGCTCTCATTCATAGAGAATACTATATATATATACAGTTTTATATATCTGCAATAAATATTCATGTATATTACTTACAAAATAAGCTTCTAACTTTATCATATGATTGTCAACTACACCACATCATATCCAATTCGCACTTTCCTTGATACCATCTAATGAGTAATTGATTTCTCAATGTATAATTTTTTAGCGCTATGTCTTTTGTCTGCAAAAAGATACATTCTTTGTTAGAAGTAAAGTTATTTAAACAAAAGCAATCTTCTGTGACTTACAATTGGAGGTGGGAAGATTCTTTGAAAATCCATCTGATTCTGGTGTTCAAGATAACTCTGCGACAGAATAAGCTTTGTTTCCAAAGTATAGCATGGTCTACACAACTGGCATTCTATATGAAAGCAATCCTCGCATTTCTTGCAGAGCTCTGGTAGTACCACGATATTTTTATTCGCTACTTCCATTTCTTCCTCTGTTTTATTTCTGCAATGTTAATAATTTAAATATTCTTTATGTGATTAATTCTATTCTATATTTTTAGGCATACAATTTCAAGAACTCGACTAAACGAAACTCTCCTGTATGGACTTTTAAGTGCATGTAAATCTCTACCTGTGTGCTTTACTCACCTAGTCTTCAAGGATTCTCTTCTGATTCTCTTGCCAATACCAATCAATGCAAACGTATTGAATATGACTTGTTCGTACAACAATTGATTTGGTGGATAATGCGCAGAAGACAGATTCGGGGACATGTTTGCTTCCATCATGTAGACATTCAAGTCTTCATCAAGAGCTAAATCGAATCTCACGAGCTCGAAGAAGTTTCTGCCGTTGCCGAAGCGTTTGGAAACTTCTCTGATTTGCGTCTCCTTCATCAAGACGACTTCTCGGATGGCATCGTACACTCGCTCCCACATCTCATACGGATTCTTTCCGTGCTCTTTGACATACGCGTCGAACGAATCTTTCATCGAGAACCCAAGTTCAGTGTAGTATTTCTTCAAGGACGGTACATTCCAAATCGGTAGATAATCATCACCGACCACGTACTTGTCTAGGACTTCTGGATCGAAAGGATAATATTTCACCGGACAGAAACGGAAGAGTACGTCGCCTTTGTAGGCATATAGCCGCAACGGATCTACGGACGTGATGACAACGTACACGCCGATGTCGAATTTGTAGCCATCGACGAGGAACGGCTGTTCGATGAACTCTTGAACGAAGGTGCCATCGGTGAAATTAGTGTCATCGTTGTCGCGAATGCGGATGCCTCGATGATCGTTCGATTTCTGTACGAACTGCTTCGTGGGATTTGACTTGACGTAGTCGAGGAAAGCTTGCCGATCCTCGGGTATCTTGAATGCCGCAGGTATATATCGTCCGCCACGTGACGTCGACAGATCCACCTTGTTTGTAATGTAGCCGCAACCGGGGAAATGGTTGACCTTCTGATGGTCCCGCAGTTTACCTAAACTCGTCGACAACACGCGAAAAGGATAATCGTGGGCCCACAATAGATCCCAATCAGATTTGTTATCGCTTTCTTGGAAACCAAGTCGTTGGAGCACCGCATATACATGTTTCAAATAACCGGTGTCGTTGCTCTTGGTGTAGATCCAGAATTTAGGTCGATCCTCTTTTAAGTTTATTGTCACTGGTCTTTCAAATAGACGTCCCGAGTACGTTTGATAGGTAAAAAATATACCGTAAAGGATCAATGGGCCCACTACAGAAGATAGAATAATCCTTAAAATTACCTTCATCTTCAAATTCATGATTTGTTTTCTTATAATGCATTGAGTTTCCTGTAACAGCGTTTTGTCGATTATTATGATTAAATTTATTAAAGATGAATAAATAACAAAAAATAGAAAATATAATTAAATACTTTAACATTCTTTATTTTAATTTAATAACACAATTAAATTAAAAATTAAATTAATTTGAAAAAAGGATGAAGTATTTAATATATAATATTTTATATATTTCTCATTTTTTGTTATCTATTAATCTTTAATCAGATTTAATTTATATCCTTAAATCTCTATATACCTCTAAATGAAGAGAGAAGATGAGTGATTTAAATTATGATTAAGACTTAATTTATTAGATTTCATTTCAAACGCGTTAAATTATTGCGTCGTTTATCATAACTTATCGTATATCTAGATAATAATGAAAATAACGTTTAAGTATTCTTTTATATTTCGCACCTTTTCATTCTCCTTTCTGTCATCTCTATTTTCGCCTGACATGGCAATTTTGATTTAAACGTGACTAGACTTAACTCAACTGTACAGTTCGCAGTACTTTTGAACAATGCAAAGCATCATGTGAAAGTACCGTTGTAACTTATCCCCGCTTCATCGACGGCCTTCCACGTGGATAGGCATAGGACCGCCTTCCAGTCTTTGGAAAGAAAACCGGTTTCTCTTTACACGATTACAATCTCCATCGCAGATTATGACATTTATAATTACCGACAGAATTATATACAATAAAAAAACTTATAACAATATTAATCATGAAATAACAAAGAATTGCAAAATACACATGTGCAAATGAACGTACAATCAGTAAATTATTTTTAAATTAAGTATTTAATTTTGATTGTACAATTGATTTTTCAATATGTTAATACTATTTTTATTATTGATTATATATTAAAATAGTCTAATAACATTATAATTTTAATTTCTGCATTATATTTAATTAATTATAGTTCAATGTAATATATATAATTGATTTTTGATTCGAATATACAAATCTGATTTTTTTTAGTTTTATATGTATGATTTATGATTATATTTTTATTCATACATTATTTTATTATTATTAAGATAATCCAAAATGTTTAAAGTTATTAAATATATAAATCTAACTTATATTTTCTTATGTTTCATGTTTTATTTCGAAATTTAAAATTTTGAAATAAAGTTTATTTTTGCACATATAAGAGTAAATACATATATATATCCGCTCTCTACAATAAAAATTTTTAATTTTATTATTTTGCTAGATGAGTAATAGTGCATACTAATATGTTGTTAATGTATCTCATTAACATAATATAAATATAATATAAAAAGTTAAATATGTTCGAAGAGAATTGAGTTTAAATACGCTTTCGAAAAAAGTAGTCACGTGATTTTAATATTGGCGCCATAGAATTTATTCATAATTCCGCTTTCCGCTTCCGGTCTTTTGCATCGTGTGTTCTTTACTTTGTCGACTCGTTCTGAGCAGTTCGAAGTGTGTAAAAAAACACGTGTAGACATGGGTTTCCAGAATATTTGGTATTCTCATCCACGAAAATACGGTCAAGGATCAAGATCCTGGTCAGTATAATATTCTTTTTGGGTTTTTAGCTTTTATTAACAATTAATTTATATGATAGACAATAGAGTTGAGCGATCGCATGGTGATCACCATGAATGTCATATTAGGCATAAAAATGTTATAATTAGAGCAGAAAATTTGATAAACTAATTAAAATTTGAAGTAATTTCAATATATTTATATATCGATGTTAATTATTAATATTGCTTTTGTAAGATGTCTACAAAATATACATACTAACCTCAAAAGTATCATGTGTTAAGTCGCACTGTAGTTATTTTATTTAATACTTTGTTTTACTTATTTTTTATATATTTTTCCTCTTTTTTTCCATATTTAAATTTTAAATTATTTTAAAACTTAAAACAATTGTGTGTAAAGTTTAGAAGATATTAAATAAATTTAATATTAATTCTAATATATATTAGATAAATGTACATATGTGTGTATTAAATAAAATTGATTTTATTGTAGCCGTGCCTGTGCAAATAGACATGGGCTTATTCGCAAATATGGCCTGAACATCTGCCGGCAGTGCTTTAGGGAATATGCCGCTGACATTGGTTTCAAGAAGGTAAATATCTGTTGACATATTCAATATACATTTAATATTTGTCGTTTATCTTATTATATTATAAGAAAAATAATGCAGCTAAATAATATCCTCTTTTTTGTTTTACAGCTGGATTAAATATACAAGAACATAGAAAAATTGAAACAATTTAATCGATACACCTATGTCTTCAACATCAGCACTATCTTAGAATTACGGTGGAAAACAAATACAATGCTATTGTAACAATTGGTATATCCAGCACTCCATGCGATGTTCTTAAAATAAACATCCTTATGTTCTTGTAATTTCCTGTATTTTATCATATTCTATTTATCCTTTAAGTAAATTTTTTTTCTATAAATGTAAAAATTTTCAGTACGGTCGAGAGAAGAATTTTACCTTTTGTAAAAATTTTTATAAATATGTAACAACTTGGAAAACAATCTATCGTTATTGAAAAGTACTATTTATAATCATAAGTGTTACATATTAATAGAATTAACAAGCTGATTACAAAGAGAGAAATTGCATATGCATAATTTATCAGTAAATAATTTATTTGAAATTGCATTTTTAGAAATTTAATGTTCTTTCTAATTTAAGCGTCCTTTCCAAAATTAAAATGTTGAAAATTGAAATTGCAAAAAAGGATCAATTTTGCATTCATATTCGCAATTGCAAAAAATATTGGCAGCACTGCAGCAATGGCGGAAAATCACATAGGTTACGTTTGACGCTGCAGTATAATCGTGCGTGTCCCTCGTCCAAAAAAATAACGCGGACCAACACATGGAGAGAACGATGTCGGAGCAAGCGGCTTTGCAAACGCAAACGGAAACCATCTCCGAGGCGGATGTCACTGACTCCGGGTCACAGGTATGCACATTCGTTGTTACATCTTCATTTACGTATGTGACGTTTATTACTCGCTCATCGCGAGGACGGTGAAAAATCGTCGATGGTGACGTTATTTACAGAATGCAAATAATTATTCTTCTTACCTCGCTTCTTGTCACATTTTAATATCCCCTCCAATATCATACGATTCAGCATCTCGGTGGAGTAAGAACATCTTTATCTTATCTTAAACATAAAAAGTAGAGCACATACTCTTCTCTACTCCGATATACATAATTAAATTTAATATCCTTACGACGAGGTTATACAAATCATTTCTGGTTTCGTGCTTCAAGTGTCAACGATGATACGTAACGTGTTTACGGGTTTCTCGCGAAAGCTCGCGGGCGAGAGACTTTTGACAAGTGAGTACCACTTGAAGAAGTGCGAACGTGAGTTTTGTCAAACGAACGTCAAGCACGATCGTTCCCCGTTGAACGGGATACGGGTTCTAGATCTGACACGGATCGTCGCCGGGCCTTACTGCACGATGATTCTGGGAGATCTCGGCGCGGAGATCCTGAAGATCGAGCGACCTGGTGCTGGAGATGAGTCGCGCAAGTGGGGTCCGCCCTTCTTCGAAGGAACGCAGGAATCGACCTACTTCATGAGCGTGAATAGAAACAAGAAGAGCGTTTGTATCGATCTGAAGAGAGGTAAAGACATCATCTATGAGCTGACGCAAACTTGCGATGTCCTGGTGGAAAATTACGTACCAGGAAAACTGAGCAGCATGGGCCTAGGATATGAAGACATAGCCAAAGTAGCTCCACATCTTATATATTGTTCGATGACTGGCTACGGATTCAAGGGACCTTACGCAAATAGACCTGGCTACGATGTCATTGCTGCTTCCCTAGGTGGACTTTTGCACATTACTGGATCTAAAGATGGACCGCCATGCAAGGTTGGTGTAGCAATGACAGATTTAGCAATGGGATTGTATGCTCATGGAGCAATTATGGCAGCTTTGCTGCAAAGAAGAGAAATAAACCAAGGCCAGTGGATACAATGTGATCTTTTGTCGACTCAAGTTGCCAGTTTGATCAACATCGCTTCAAATTACTTGAATGGAAATAAGGAAGCAACAAGACGGGGATCTGAACATGAGAGCATAGTTCCTTATGAAGCTTTCCCGACGAAAGATGGATATATGACAGTTGGAGCAGGCAGTGATTTGCAATTTTTAGAGTTAATTAAGAGATTACAATTACCAGAACTCATTAATAATAATAAATTTAAGAATAATGCTGCTAGAGTTAAGAATAGAACGGAATTACTGCAAATTCTTCGAGATGCATTTAAGAGGAAAAAAAATCAAGATTGGTCTGTGATATTTGAAGGTGCTTCATTTCCTTATGGAGTAGTGAACACTATAAAAGAGGTAAATGAATTGATTTAAAATAATCTCAAATAATTTTGATTATTTACAACACATATGCAAAATTGCATCCTCTTAAACTTGGCATATCATTTTCAGGTGTTTGATGATCCCCATGTAAAACATACAAAATTGATTAAAGAATTAGAGCATCCAGTTACAGGGAAAGTGAAACTTGTTGGGCCACCTGTGACATATAGCTATGCCACCAACAGAGTGAGATCATCACCACCAATGTTAGGACAACATACATCAGAAATTTTAAGAAATATATTAAAATATTCGGATGATAAAATAGAAAAGTTAATAGCACAAAAAATTGTGCAATAATTAATGAACATGTATTTAATCTTTTCTATGCAATTTTATATGTAACACTTATGCAACAAATTTTAATTTAATGATGTTTGAAGAAACTCTACTTTGTATGCATATATATATTATAAACATTATATATAATAACCATTACATTCTCAGATAATACAGTTTACAAATTTTATATATATATATATATATATATAACACTTATATTTTAAAAATATAATATATAAATAAAATAAATATAATATAAATATAATATAATATAAATTTTATAAATATAATATATTTGTATGTATATGTGCCACAAACTTGGTATAAAAATATTATAAATAAAAATATTAAATTTTTGAGTATATTTTATATTCATTTTCTATAATAAATATTTTTCAATTAATTGTGACAATATTTTTGTGATTACTACATGTAATTTAAAGTGCAATTAATTATTAGCTTTATTATAGTTTAATAAAATTTTCATAATTTTGTTTTATAGGATGTGCCTACTGTACGATTACGTTTACGAAAACCAAAATCGAGCAAAAAGGTTCAATGGACTGAAGGAACTGTTGATAATGAACATCTAAATAAGAAAAAATCAAAATGTTAATATTTATTTCTATAAAATTTTCTAGATTTATTCAAAATGTAAAAATTATATAATCTTTTTTAATAACAGGTTGTTGTATTTATGAGAGACCAAAAACTTTTGGTGAAAGTAGTTCCGAAGATAGCGATGATGAATGTGAACATTGTCATGGACATAAGGATGCTCATAAGAAAGTCTTACCTACAACTGGAAATGCCCATCAAGATGGAATGTCATCTCATCCTGGTAACTTTTTATAATAAATCTAGTAGTAGTATTAGTAACTTAATTACTAATGCATTTTTATCTCATACTGTTTGCTTTGCTTACAGAACCTATTGCAACAGGTTCAGCATAAATATACCCATATACCCATTGAAAACTCTGCTAAATGGAAAATAAATTCCTTTATGTTGTTTCTCAAGTCAGTATCATACAAAAGAAATGGCGGATTGTAGGTAAGTGATTATATAACTTATAATATATAACAAGCAGTAAATCAAATTAAACAATACAATGATTTTGTGAATCGTTACAATATATCCTTTTAGGTGTACAAACTATAAATATGATTCTGCACTAATACATGTGGCATTTTATTATAATGCTTTAACGATATCGCATGGAAGCAATGTTCAAAATTGTTGGTCTATGTAGATCGTATGTGATATCATAAGAATAGTAAATTATTGAATATTCTCTGAAAAATAACAATCATTCCTTAAATGTTTACATCCGAATCACTTTTTTCATATGTACTATTTGCTAATAGTTTTAGATTTTATGTTAAAAGAAAATATATATTACTTGTTAATCTGTGACTTTTATTAACATTCCACATTTAATTATAATAGATTTTTTAATTATATTAATTTTTTATATATTTCATAATTACTAAATCAAATTTGAACTTGTAACAAGAACATTGGAAATATCTCCAAATTTGTTCGTTTTTGTGGAAGATTTATTATATTACATTTATAATTTTATATTATAATTATACACCATACAAGATCAAAAATGAAATGTATGAAAAAATGATATAAAATAGTGCACATTTATATCCATTCATTATTTCCTTTGTTTAGTACAAGTATAAGTAGACGAAATAAATATTTCAAATTATAGCTAAAAATATATAGAATAAATTAAAAAATTTAGTATTACAGATCACATACATGTGTGAACAGAATTATAATCATGAAAAACTTAATAATCATTGCACACACACAGTGAAGGTTCCAATTTACAATTTTATCAGAAGATAAATTCTATAAGGCTTAGAGTTCCATTTGCAGAAGCTATATCAATAAACTTTAACCTGACAATTTAAAAATAGTTTGATGATATTCTTTAATATTTAAATAATGTAATTTTAATTTTTTTTAATTAGATATTTTCTAATTTTAACAATAGATAATAATTCTTTGCGATATTCATTCTTTTAACAACATTTTTAGTAACTCTTTCAAATAGTACTCATCTGGTGAGATTCCAGATTGTATTACATTATAAGAAATAAAAGTCTGCACGTGCGTTTGTGTGCATAAATCCCAGGCAATCAAAAAATAGATTGATTATTTGTGCTTTTACATGATAGTAGTATTTTGGACGATTTTGTATACAATTTAACTTAAGTGCAGAATATATCTCTAGAAATCTTGTAAAAATAAATGTTTTAAATTGGAAATTTAATAGTTTTTAGTCAGTCGATATTATTACTGCTTCTCTGAAACCTACGTCTTTTTCGCACTTCCATCCCTCTACGATAAGAATTTTCATCTAAACCTAAAGCCTTTACCATAGCCCGACTTCGCCATATTTTAACTGTATAATCATCACTGGTTGTAACTAACATTTCAGGATCACGTGGATTAAAAGCTACGGAATTAACTACATCGGTATGAGGAAATTTTGCTAAACAAATTCCATAATGTCTATCCCACAAGTAACCATGTTTGTCTTCTGCACCGCTGTAAACAAAGATATTTAATAATTAATCTTAAACGACTTGACTACGACGTAACTAGCAATTTTATTTGATTATTTCACGACGTTTCGACCATTTGGTTGTGGTCCTTTTCAAGTGAAATTTCATCAATTAAACCGAGATTAACATAACATCACACCGGTGTTATTTGAAATCGAAAGTTAAACGTTAAAAGAGGAACACGTCCCATCGTTATGATGTTTCGTCAACAACATCATAACGATGGGACGTGTTCCTCTTTTAACGTTTAACTTTCGATTTCAAATAACACCGGTGTGATGTTATGTTAATCTCGGTTTAATTGATGAAATTTCACTTGAAAAGGACCACAACCAAATGGTCGAAACGTCGTGAAATAATCAAATAAAATTGCTAGTTACGTCGTAGTCAAGTCGTTTAAGCTTATTTTCACCACTAGCGACAAATATTAATTTTGATTGATATTAATTTTAATTAATAATTAATCTTACATATTTTTTTAGAAATATAAAATTTTTTGTTAAATTAAATTGATGAATTATGTAAATGCAAGTCGAATTATCATTACCTTGCTACATATTCGTTACACACGTCCAAAAATATAAAGAAACATTCGTTATTAGGTGTATACGCCTTGTGTGCTCTTAACATTGTACCAACTTGTTTTAATGTTACCAAGTCAATCACGTGTATATCAATTTCTTGTGCTATCGGTGGTGGTTGTAAAGGATTAGTAATAACATAACCCTTTGGCCATGGCCTTGTATTTACATAAAGATATCTGTATGAAAACGTATGTGTAATTAACAACGCTTCAAATATATCATCTTATGATATGATAATACTGATAACTGACCTATGATCAGGAGAAAGTCCCATTCCAATGATGTGACCGTGAAGATCAATCAAATGATCTATCTTATCGAATTTGTCTGCTACAGATGCATAATTTAACCAATCTTCTACTGACGGAGTATTTTGTCTCTCTCGCTCCCTTTCCCGCTGAGCTATTCTCTCGCGTAGCGATGGTCCCGGGTCCAATCTTCTCGGGAAACTAACTAATTTAATTCTTTTAAAACCAACTTTATGCGGAGTATATGTTTTGGAGCCAGTTGTAAATATAAGAAACTTTTCTGGATTATTGGCTAACTCATCAGTATCACATTCTTCGGTTATTGAAGATTCTGTAAATTTATTTTTTTTTTTTAATCATATTTTATACAATAATTATAACGATCGATTTTTTACTACTATGCATTACGCGTGCGTAATTTTTCTACCTCCAGACTCGCTCTCTTCTTCCCACAATGGATTCTCACTTTCGCTGTCGCTTTCATGCGCCTTCCGCTGCATCTCAACTTGCCTATATTCCTGGTTGTATTGTATAGGACTAGCATATTCGAAACCGTCACCAAGTTTTCTCCAATTCGAAAAACCACCTTCTAATTTACTATATCTATCATACATAAATATACATTACATAAATGTTAATCATTTAATAAATAATAAATTTATTATAATGTCAAACAGGAATAAATTAAACATACTGTAATCTCGATGATGCATGGTGTAGCACTTCTGGTTCTTCCTGCTGTTGCGAGCTACTAGGTTCGTTTGAAGGTGACAACAAATCCTTGTGACTTGGCGGATTTCCTTTTTCCTCCTTTGTATTTGAGGAGGACGGTTGGCTTTGTTGTTCTGTAGTTTCAGCTGGTGCAGGCGCTAAACAATTTGCAACCATAATTGCTCTAATTGAGGAAGCATTTCCATTGTAGAATCTGAGAACAATTACAGATTTGTGAAAAAAAATGATTTTCGACAACTATTTATGTGCTCCATTAGAATTAACATTAAAAATGAAGAAAGCATATTAAATGTAACTTTACCTAAAAAGTTGAGTCATGATGGGGACATGTTCACTAGCTGATTCCTGGTTTGCCTTATTCAGCCAAACTATACTAGTACTGACCAAATGTGCCAACCAATGCAGATTTCCGCTTAAAAGGTAACGCTCACTGTACCATGTACCAAATATGTCATACGGCTTATTCACTACTCTACATTGAAGGTCAAAGCCAGCTACGAATAAACATAAAGCATATATAAGAAATTATTTGAATAAGAATTGAAGCCTTTTATTTAAAATATGTCAAAAGATAACTTATTATCTTCTTATTTAAGATTTATCAATTTACATAATTTTCTTCAAATTTTTTATTTACTTACGTGCTACTTTAAAGACTGCTATTTCTCCCGAAGTACTATGGGGTGTACCAAAATGTACACCAGAAACAAGAAGTAAGGTATCTGTACAATTAAACTGTGAAAATTGTGTATATTTCCAACTAAATGTTTTCATATCGTGTAAATATTTTATAGTAACAGGATATTGACTTTGCCATACCTGAAATAATAGCATATTTGTAATACTTGATATCTGCAAGAGAAAATAATAAGTATAAACGACAGAAAAAAGCTTACAAGAATATATCCATCTTTTGAACAAGTTGCAAACATTTTGCCATTATGGGAGAAGCTCACATGTAAAACTTGATGTGAATGTTCCTTGAGAATTTCAGTTTCTATCAGTGGAGTGTGATATGCCAAACGTTTAAATTCTCCCAACCAAGAAGTTTTACCTAAGAGAGAAAGAAAGTTAATAATAATTACTAATATTCTTTTAATCAAGAGAGATGTATAAAACATAAAATGTAATATATTAATATGTATGTGTAAATTAATTAATGTAAAATATTATTCTCTCTTCCATTAAAATATTTATGAAATATATGTCAAAAGATGTACACAAAATTAGATATATGTATTATTGCTAATAAGGATATCATACATAATATACAGATACAAAAGAGGTCATTAGACAGACATCAAAACAGTGAGAATTGTCATAAATTTTAATGAGTATGTAAAAACAATTCTCAATAAAATTATTATAAAACTCATTTAAGAGTTTAATCAAAGCTCATTTAAGCTCTGTCTGATATACTTCCAATAATTACTTTTTATCATTTGTTCTTAGTATTCATTATCTTTATATGTATTGTCTTATTATCTTTTTATATATGTATTATATAAAAATAATTATCTAATTTAACTAAACTGAGTTTTTTTCTTGTGGTTCAAATAATTGTTCAAACTGAATAACACAATAAGTGAATCACACAAAAGAAATTATATTTTTGATCCATCTCACGCATGTAATATGCAACAAAGTATATTTATATTTTTCAAATCACACACGCACACATACATATATATACATAAATAAATATGGTGACGTCGAAAATACTACTGCTGTACGAAACAAACCTGGCACGATGCACGACGTCCGGATCTATCTTGTACGTACGATAAAATAAATATTTCCATAGGAACTCGTCGCGCGACACCCTATGCCAGGAACTGCACACTTCACCCGCGATCGTCAACTCCTTCGGGCTCAGGTACTGGAAGATGCTCAGGAGAATCGAGTCTGGCATGTAATACCATTGACGTCGCCCTCGCTTTGCTGTGACAAGCACCTCGCTATTGTTATCCGACTCGCTGACATCCTCGTCAGCTGATTGACGATCCCGCGCGACGTCGTCGTTCTCGATGCCGTCCATCGTCCAAACGCGGCGGTTTATTTACTGGAACAGCTGATATCTGTCAGCGACTGTGCAGTCACTACGCAGCCGAGGATGCACGAACTCGACCGAGGTTAGAATCTCGTCACGCGGGCGATCCTCGCATCACGGAGCCACAGATTAATAGACAGATCGCCAAAGGTCTGGATGAAGGAGAGACCAGCATTTCTCACTGATTTCAGCGCCATATCGTAGTAGTGG